ACAAAAAAAATGGTACCATCAGCAATTCGAACTTTATCCTGTCCTGAAGAAGGGGAATATGCTGAGAACAAATCAGACGACCCAGACATATGGTTGGAAGCACCAGAATCAATAATCCAAAGCAATGTTTGATGAGAGTGGAAAGCACTTGTTGAAGAAACTAAGTTACCTGAATGGGCAAAGTTACCTGTAGATAAATTAGATGCCCGACGGTCTAGCAAGTGGTGAACAGCAACCTCCAGCTCAGAAGTAGAAAAACCAGAGATATTAGTAGAAGAAACAACTGGAGCTGGGGACTGTGGCTCAACTGTATCAGAATGATGGGCTCGGGCATTGGGCTCGCGGCGTCTAGACTAACCGGAGCAACCCCCACGAGAACCAGAACGATCTCCATGACCACCAGATAGCGGCCCATGCAACTTCCAATAAGTCTCACAGGTGTGGCAAGGGTGACGACAATAGTCACAAAAGAGGGTATCCTTCTCAGAAGGAGGACGGGAACCACGATCCCTATCTCTAGAGGGTGCAGAAACTAGGGCAGAGCGGTCAGAAGAGGTAGATGGAAGCATAGTAGAGCGACAATTTTTCTCATTCTACACATAAGCAAACACTTTTTGGAGAGAAGGAAGCACATCCATACTAAGCACACAACTCCGAACAAGATCAAACTCCACATTCAGACCTTTCAAAAACTTGAAAACCCGCACTTGTTCAACAAATTTCCGGTAACCAACAGAATCATTGGGACAGACAGGCTTGTAGTCCTGAAGATGATCAAGTCTCTTCCATCCATTGCTAAGGAAAGTAAAATACTGGAGGATAGTCATCTCACCCTGGACGGATCGGTCAATGGAGCGTCATAACTCAAAAGTTTGTGAGAAATTGCCTTTGCGGGAATACGTAGCGGCCACAGCCTCCCAAATATCCTATGCTGTGTCCATAGACAAGTATCCCACTGATCTCTGGAACCATTGAATGTATTAACGAGCCCATGATAAGAGAATTGGTAATCTCCCACTGATCATAACTCGTATCCGTGATATTAAGAGCCTGAATGCGCCCATCAACATATCCCATCTTCCCTTTACTCTTAAAAAATATAGTCAAACTCTGCAACCACGCTAGATAGTTCTGACCAATAAAGAGAGAGGTAGTTATTCTTTGGCCAAGGTTGAGGGAATCAGTCATAGTAGTTGTCAAAATTGGACTTGCGCCCTGAGTAGCAAGCTGCGAAGTAGTAGACTCACTAGTTAATTCGGCCATGGAGACTCTACTAAGGAATCCTCACAAACAAACACTGGCTAATTTACAAACTCGGAAGATAGGAGAACATAACAATAAGAACAAATAGAATTTAAGAGAATTTTTTTTTTTTTTTTTTTATTCTTATGTTACTAATTGCCAACACCACTATCATATTATATACATGCCACTATCTTATTATATACATTAACACAAATTTCCAGCACATAACATAGAGAGACAGATCACATCAAGAGAGAGAGAACAAGGAAGAGGTGAAGCTACCCAGATAACGTTGCACCCGACTAGACCTCGAGGTTCCTTAGAGGCTATCGACAGCCAGAGAAGGGAAGAAAAAACTTCCTTGACTGAACATCAAAGCCAGCCGACAGGCCTGGGTTGGGAAAAAGGGAGGCTCCGAGAGACAGAGTACATAACATAGAGAGACAGATTACATGAAAAGAGAGAGAATAAGGAAGAGGCGAAGCTACCCAGATGACGTCGCACCCGACTGGACCTCGAGGTTCCTTAGAGGCTATCGACAGCCAGAGAAGGGAAGAAAAAACTTCCACGACTAAACCTCAAAGCTAGCCGACAGGCCTGGGCTGGGAAAAAGAGAGGCTCCGACGAGCCCCTCCCCGACTGAACCTCAAAGCCAGCTGACAGGCCTGGGCTGGGAAAAAGAGAGGCTCCGACGAGCCCTAGGGTGCTGTCGGAGCCCTAGGTAGCTGTGATGGGGACTGGCGAAACCCTAGGGGTCGGCGACTGGGGTGGAGGAACCCTAGGGGTGCTGCGACTAGGGTGGTGGTGTGGTAGTGATTGGGGCTCGTGGTTTCTAGGGTTTGGAGTGGCTCTGATACCATATCATTTTTTAGAAGAGAAAAGTGAAGGTATGATAGTCTCTCATCCTCTTTTATATTACATCATAAACATAATTATAGGAGTGAGTTAAGGCCTAAATAAAGGGCCCATTACATCAAATAAAGATACTGAATAAGAATAGAATAGGAAATATCCTAACACATTCTAACATCTTCTTGATGCTTTTTGGTCTATAAATCTATTTTATTTATCCAAAAAAAGGGGGGGTAAATTACTTTGACCTATCCTAAGGTTTATGACAGTTACTGATACAGGTTTATAAAATGATATTGTTGTCTCCTCTGTTTTGGAACAATGTTTCAGTTTCCTTCTGTTACTTTTCTGTCAATAAGGATTGGAACTAATGTGGTAAGAAGATTTTTTTCAAAAAAATCCCCAGTGAAGCCTTCATCCATTCCAATCCAATAAATGGAGACCAACCCTACAACACTATACAAGTCCTCCAACAGTACTCCAAAATTAATTATACTAGAAAATTTAGAGTTTATTTTTTTTAAAGAAAAGGAAGGTAAACATGTTTTTATTTTTTTTATTATTATAAAATTTTTATAAACACAACAAAAATTGATTTTTTGTTTTGAACATGAAAAACTAATTTCTTTAAAAAATGAAACAATAACGAAAAAAATTTCTTCATAAAACTATTTTCCAAAATCTGTTTTTTAAATAAGTGAATCACATAGTAAACCAACTAAGAGTAGCCTTTGCAAATTTTGATGCAATTATTTTTTGAGTTAAGTTGCTCCTTTGTACAATAAAATGTTAGTCTAGTCATTTCACAAATCAACTAAGGGTAAAATGGCAAAACCAACTAAAAAACTAACATCATCTTAATGGAGGACAACTCAGGGGAAGAAACTGTCATTTCAGAAAACCTGGGGGAGGTGTCTACAATTGTCATAAACCTCAGGGGAGGTCAATGTAATTTACCTTAAAATTTACTATATTGGAAAAGATGGACATAGAAATGGTATAGGAATTATTGTAGCTAAATATCTTATAGACAAGGTAGTATCAGTTAAAAGAATAAATAAAATAATGCTAATTAAATTTGTAATTGGAGAAAGTATAATTAATGTGACCAGCATCTATGCACCCCAAATAGGATTGAAAGAACATATTAAAAGACAACGTTGGGATCAACTGGATGAGTAATGCAACAAATACCTATAGAAGAGAAGACATGTGGTGATTTAACCAGTCATCTAAGAAAAGATAAGCAAGGGTATGAGAAGGTACATGGCAAATATGATTTGGGATTGGTGTCTGAAATGAGGCCAGAGAGTGTATTTTAGATTTCATAGTAGCATTTGATTTTATAGTAATAAATCCACACTCTTTAAAAAGAGAGAAGAATACTCAAAGTGAAGTTTATGTGGTTATGAGTGGTTATTTTCAAATGACAGTGGGGCAATCTGTGCATGGGCCAAACCACAAAGGGTTACAGTGAAGTTTTTGCAGTAGCATTTGATCTTATAGTAATCAATCAACACTATCTTTACAAAGAGAGAAGAATACTCAAAGTGAGGGTTATGTGGTACTTAGAAAATATGAGGAAGAAGAACTCCGAAAATATGAGGAAGAAGGAATATATTTCTGTTATATTCCTTCTTCCTCATATTTTCGGAGTTCTTCTTCCTCATATTTTCTAAGTTGGTATCAGAGCAACAAAAAACGCAGCAGCCCTAAAACCGTCATAGCCATGTCGGAAGTCACGTCCGAAACCACTTCAACCCCTGCCGCTGCCATTCCGGTGAAAACGTCCAACTCTCACTCTGTCCAAATCACCACCATCCGCCTAAATGGTGATAATTTTCTCCGCTGGTCACAATCTGTCCGGATGTATATCCGTGGGCAAGGAAAGATCGGTTACATCACTGGTGACAAGAAGGCTCCTGCTGTTAATGATCCGCTGTTCGACAGTTGGGACGCTGAAAACTCCATGGTTATGACATGGTTGGTCAATTCTATGGAGGAGGATATAAGCTCTAATTACATGTGCTATCCTACTGCACAAGAATTGTGGGATAATGTTAGTCAGATGTATTCTGACCTAGGAAATCAATCTCAAGTTTTCGAATTAACTTTGAAGTTGGGAGAGATTCGTCAAGGAGATGATTCCGTCACCAAATATTTCAATTCGTTGAAAAGGTTGTGGCAGGATCTTGACATCTTCAACACATACGAATGGAAATCGGTTGACGACTGCAACCACCACAAGAAAACTGTGGAAGACAGCCGTATTTACAAGTTTCTTGCCGGCCTCAACAAGGAGTAGGTGAAGTGGAGGTGGTAGTAGGTTTATGGTAAATTCTAACAGTGGTTATTTTCAAATGATAGCGGGGCAATCTGCGCATGGGCCAAACCACAAAGGGGTAAAGTGAAGTTTACCAAATATTATATATGTATACATATGTATAGATAATAGTTGGGTTAGGGTTGCCCAATCATTCTGCTCAGGACTAAACCAAATTTAATTTCGACTGAACAAATTTAGCCCAAGTCTAAAAATGAAAAATAAATAATTAAGGTTGGGCTTGGGTTGCTTAGGTTGGGCATGCCTGAGTTGCAGTGCTACCAAAAATTTGTCAAATTATCAAGATACCCTAGAACTAAGTAAAAAGTGTAAAATATGTAAAACAACCTTCTAACCTATAAAATACATAAAATGATAAAAATAAATGTCATCTTGACTATAAACAAGTTAATGAAACATAAAGTGTGATCTATGTGAAATTCCAGATTTGCCCCTATTTTTCTTTTCATGCTTTGCATTGCTAATGTTTCTCTTTCTCTTAGCGATGCATTTGTTAGGAATTTTTTTCACTACAATTGGTTATGGGTAATAGGGTTAATGACTGTATCTGTTATTATAGGGGCTTCAATGATACTTGCAGCATTAGCAGTGGAGGCTGGTTTGCCCGATGGTGTGTTAAATATTGTTCATGGGACCAACGTAAGCTTCATTCCCTGGAGCCTTATTTACACAATGCTTTTCTTGCTTTTTTGTGTGAAATTTATCGTAGGACTTCAGGACTTCTGTGTTTCATTTTTTATCTTCTTGTGGAAAGAAAAGAAAAGGTGATTGTTAACATTGAGGCTACCTTCTTTTTCTTCTTCTTTTGAAGAATTTAGCTTCGTGTAACCCATAAACCTTATGTTGCGTTTCCTGGCCTTTCCTCTTAAAACCTCTTCTTTATCTTTTTACTTTGATACAAATTGACTAATCTTTGTTGGAGTTTTTTTTTTATTGATTGAATTTGCTTGAATCACTGTTTGATATCTGCATTTGTTGTCCGAGCAGGAGATTGTCAACTATATCTGTGATGATGATGATATTAAAGCTGTATCATTTGTTGGTCCTAGTACAGTAAGTTCTCTTACTAATATGGGAAAATCATGCTTAGAGTTGTGAGCAGTCATGTGAAGATGTATTCATACAGACATGCATAAAGCACGTAGAGATTGACTTTGTCTCAACTTAAAGAAAAGCCCTCTTGCACTATTTGTAACTCTTTTAAGTGTCTTACATGCATTTCTCTTCTGTTCTAAAGAATATTAATAAATTTATATAGTGCTTTTAGAGCATTGGGCTGAGAGTAATATCATTGAATGGGTATTTAAGACAAGGGCATTGGTAATTAGGTGATAATGATGAGACTTCTGATGTTCTGTGCTGTGTGCCAAAATACTACGACAATTCTTCTACTAAGAGATACAATTGCATGTTCTGTTTCTTTCATTGCCTACTTTTTACTGCATTTCTCTTCTTCCCTGTGGGCAATCCAGGGCTGGCCCAACCATCAATGAGGCCTAAAGAAAATCTCAATTAGAGGCTCCTTTTACATTTAAATAATATTTATATACCTTGAATGAATTTTTTTCTTTATAATTTATTTTTTAATTTTTATTTTAGTACATCAGCATGTAAAATAAAAAATATATAAACAGTGATTGTATTTATTTTTGTAATCATTTCATTTAATTTTTAATTGTAAATATTTTTTATTTTGTTGTTGTAATGTGTTGTCTAAAAAATGTTTTTTAAAAAATAAAATAAAATTAGTAGCTCAAAAATAATTTTTGTTTATGGCACAATTTTTATTTTTATAATCATTTAATTGAATACTTAATTGTAAATAATTTAATTTAGTTAGCTGTAAAGTGTTGTCTTTAAAAAAAAAAAAGTCTTTTAAAAAAAAAAATCAATAGCTCGAAATAATTTTTGTTTATGGCACAATTTTTGTTTTTATAATCATTTCATTTAATAATTATAAATATTTTTTATTTAGTTGGTTATTGGTCAAAAATAATTTTGTAGACATTTAAAATCAATTATTCTTAAAGTCATTAACTACTGTAATAAAATGTAAAAAACTCATTTTATAGTGATTTAAAATATGAAATATATTGGATCATATTAACAAAAATTGATCAAAATCTATTTTAAATCCAAATAAATGTATCGGTAAGTTTTTTTTCAAATTGTGCAAAAAATAAAAAAATTACGGTTCTGGTTACTGCAACCATTATGCTACAGCCTTTACACTCTGCAACCGCAACTGCTTACCACAACCATTGACCATAACCGCTTTTCGAAACCTTGCCTACATCATTTAGTATTGGGGCCTTTAATCAAATGAAGATTTTTTTTTTTTAAATACTGGGCGTTTGTATGAGTATATGTATTTGAACTTTTAGATAATTGAAAGAATATTTTTAGCCTTTAGATAAGAAAAAATCTTAATGGGCTCTTGGACAGTTTTATGAGCCTTTGAACAAGAAATATGTTTTTAGTTTTTATGATTTTTTGGATCTTTAGACAGAATTTTTTTCTGATAATTTAGATGAAGAGTACATTTTTTATGGGACCTTCCAAAATTGGGGGCCTAAAGCCACCAGCATGAGCTGGCCCTGCTGGAATTTTTGGAATAGCCACTGCTTGGCTTTAAATTGGCTTAACCATCAAATGAAATATGAACTAACCATCCTCCATTCCTACCAGGCTGATAATAGGACTGTAGGCATTGAGTAATTAGTGTTTCTTGTATGATTTTTTCTTTGTAAATTTTTTTCAAGGCTCTTGTATGATTTTTTTCTATGTCAATTTTATTTTTATTTTATTTTATTTTTAAGGTTGCAATGCACTCACTTGCTAGGGCAGCAGCTACAGGAAAACGTGTTCAGGTGAGTACTCTCTCTATCTCTCTCAGGAATGGTTTTATTGCCCCTAAACTTAATCCACCACTTGAATTTTACATCTGTTGGCTTGGTAACTATTAATATGATCACTCCTTAGTCCAACATGGGAGCCAAAAACCATGCAATTATTATGCCTGATGCGAGTGCCGATGCTACCTTGGACGCTTTGGTTGTTGCTGGTTTTGGTGCTGCAGGACAAAGGTGCATGGCTCTCAGCACAGCTGTTTTTGTTGGAGGCTCAATGCCATGGTATAATGCTCTCTTTTTTCTTCTTGTTTTTTTCTCTATTTATTTATTTATTAATTTGATGCCTTTTATTATCATGTTGGAATGTTCAGATGTAAAGAGTTAGCATCCTAAGAAGGATGGACACTTCTAAGAAAGTAACATGTGTTGTCTAACACCGACCAACACGACACTTGTCGAACACTTCCCAATACTTAGACACACATGAAATACATTATAAGTTTAAATAAAATAATTTAAAATCCAGTAATAAAACAAAAACAACGTAAATTTATACACATTCTCCTCTACTAAAGCTATAAAAATTATTGGGTATTTTTGGTTTGGCTTTGTAGAGTGATTTTGGGACAAATTTTCTAAAAAATTTGTTTGGTTTGTAATTTTTCCAAAACAATTTCCAAAATCACTCTCTCTTACACATCAATCAATCACTTTTTCTCTCTCCTCTCTCCTTCTCAATCACTTTTTCTCTCACACATCACTCAATTACAACAAAATATCAAATCATTCCAAACTCCAAAACTACTTTCAAAATACACAACCAAACAAACCAAAAAAATTTCTAAACTCTCTCCCAAAACAATTTTTCAAAACTACTCTCTCAAAACCAAACCAAACATACCCATTATCTTTGACTTAAATATACATATATATGATATATAATAATTAGGGTAAATTACAAATACACCTCCTGAGATTTGCTTAAAGTACAGATTGCCCCTTGTAGTTTGAAAAATTACAAGTAGCCCCTTGTTAGAATTTTTTATTTAACAAGATTAACTAAAAAAATGAAATTCATAATTGCTCTCTTATATAATAATAAAATTACCTGAATTATTAATTGAAACATATTTCTAACATCATTAAAAATTGTTAATTAACTTGATGATTTATTAATAGAAGGGGCGATTTGTTATGAAATTAGAAACCTCAGGGGGTGGAATGTAATTTTCAGAACCACAAGGGGAGATTCGTATTTTAATCAAACCTCAGGGGGTGTATTTGTAATTTATCCTAATAATTATTTGTCCTTATATATGACAGAATAAATATAAAAAATTATATGTTTTGCACATGTGCCCCATATGTCGTGTTTTACATTTTTTCAAAAATTTATGTGTCATTGTCATGTCACGTGTCCATATTCGTGCTTCTTAGGGTGCATCCTTTGAAATTGAGGTCGAACTTGAATCTTGTAGTCCCTTTTAAATACTAATTGCTTAGATTGTGTTTACATGAGTGTTAGATTTGCATGAGAGAAAGAAAAGAATGAGAAGAAGAAAAGAGAGAGAGAACGACTGTGTTTATTAACATACTCAAATCATATTAGGGTTCTCCTTTACACATTATAATAAAAGACTAAAGGAACAAAGGACATAACTACTCTTAGACACTAATACTTAACATTCCCTCTCAAGTTAGTGCAAAGATATCTCTCATGCCCAACTTGCAGCAAATGAGTTGGAAAACCTTACTACTAAGACCCTTAGTAAATTCATTAATCAATTAATCTTTAGACTTCACAAAAGGCATACATATTAAACCCTATGAAACACGCATACTTCAAATAGGAAGACGTATCCGTATCGGATACCGATACTCCTTGGATACTTACGGATACGTATCAAATACTTATTAAAAGTATCGGATACTTCTTCATTAATTTTTCATTAATTTTGAAATATCGGATACTTAGTTTTGAAGTATTGGATACTTCAAGTCACATATTATCGGATACTTCTTAATTAATTTTGAAGTATCAAATGCTCCAAGTCACATATTACTCCTGTTACGAAATTAGAATTGTATCATTTCTTGCATAACATCATAATATAATATAATTGCGAGGATAAATAGAATATTTTTACAATACTTTGCGTAGTTTTTTTAATAAAAATAACATAGTAAGCAAAAGTAATAGAATTCATCAAATTGACATATCTTCATTGTATCATGCATGTCCCCTATAACTACATAGAAATAAGGATTAATAAGATAATATAACAATAGTAAAATTAAATATCAATAAATAAATAAGCAAATAAACTTGCATAGAATATTTTTGACTAGTGCAAAAGGAAAAAGCATAGGGTCAAATTATGGATTGTTTTGATATTATAATATCAACGTATTAGACTTGATATTGAAATGAAATATTTGCAAGACCTATTGAAAATTTAAAAACTAAACTAGCTATTGCCTTAAATTAGTACCTAATTCTTAAAGATTAGTATTTTGCATCATAAAGTTACTGTGGTTTCTCAACATTCTTGAGCTTATATGTAACTCACTACTAATAATTCTTTTATTTTTTATTTTTTACAAACGTATCCTAACCGTACCTATATCCTACTTTTTAAGGTTTTGCTGTATCGCCGTATCCGTATCCGTATCCGTGCTTTCTAGATTAAACCCTCATTTAATTTCTCTTTGATGAAATGTTTGTCGATCTCAATATGCTCTGTTCTGTCATGCTGAACAGGATTGTGAGCAATACTAATGACAACTTTGTTGTCACAGTATAGTGTTAATGGTTCACTACAAACAAATCCAATATCATTCAACAAGGACTTGAGCCACATCAGTTCATATCAACTATGTGCCATAGCCTTGTATTCTGCCTCTGCACTAGATCTGGACACCACTGCTTGTTTCTTACTACACCATGTGACTAAATTCCCCCCACAAATGCACAGTTACCGGAGGTAGATCGCCTGTCATCTATAGAACCAGCTCAATCAGCATCTGTGAATGCCTTCAACCTTAAGTGACCTTGATTGGAAAATAAAATTCTTTTTCCTGGAGCAGATTTACGATACCTCAAAATGCGATACACTGCATCCAAATGAGGTGCACAAGGCTTATGCTTAAATTGACTTACTATCCCAACTGCATAGGCAATATCTGGACGAGTGTGGGATAGATATATAAGCCTTCCCACAAGTCGCTGGTATTATCCCTTTTCCATAAGATCACCAACACCACTACAAAGATGGTGATTAGTCTCAGTTGGCGAATCAGTAGCTCGGCAACCTAACATGCTAGTTTCCTCAAGAAGAACTAGGATCTACTTTCGTATAAAGATGTCTTTCTTAGATTTGGCAATTTCAATCCCAAGAAAGTACCTCAACGGACCAAGGTCTTTGAACTCAAATTTCTTGGCCAACAGCATCTTAAGAACTATGTCATCCACATATACTATAAGCACAGTTACCTTATTTGCATGGTGTTTGACGACATTTTGTGATCTGCATTGCTTTGTTTATACCTGAATCTCAACATAGCCTTCAGGAATCTATCAAACCAAGCTCGATGAGACTATTTCAAACCATTAAAGCCTTTTTCAACCTACAAACTTTCCCAATTGTAGACTGAGATGAGAATCCTGGTGGTACATCCATATGTACCTCCTCCTCCAAATCACTATGGAGAAATGCATTCTTCACATCTAATTGCTATAAAAGCCAGCCCGAATTAGCTACACATGAGAGAATAGCTCGAATGGAATTCATCTTTGCTACTGGAGCAAAGGTTTCTTGATAATCAATTCCATATGTCTGAGTAAATCCCTTGGCCACTAGTCGAGGTTTTTACCATTCCATTACTCCATCTACTGTCTGCTTAATGGTGAACACCCACTTACACCCTACAGGCTTTTTTCCACTAGGAAGAGGAACCAACTCCCAAGTGTTATTCTTGTTTAGAGCTTGCATCTCTTCTACCATAGCTACTTTCCACTTAGGATCATTGATAGCTTCTTTCCAACCCTTGGGAATACACACAGAAGACAGACGAAACAAAAGCATGATAAAGACAATGAATCATATGACACAAATTTAGAAATGGGGTGTTGAGTACAAGTCCTAACCTCTTTTCTAAGAGCAGTAAAAAGACATGAATCATCAGCAACAAGACTATCAACTACAGGTGGAGGAATAGACTGAGATGTATTACTTGGAACTAACATGAGGAATGATGATTGGTCGGGTGGCACAAGGGAAACCTACTCTTTTGGATGCCGTGAATAAGTCTTAAGATCAACCCTGTCCAAACGACCACCAATGTCAGGCTCCACATCAAGAGAACTATTAGGCTCCCCCTCATCACAAATAACAGTCCACTGACTAGGAAGGAAAAAAGATAACTCATGTTGATAAGTCATCTCCTCATCTGCAATCTCATCCATAACACTCCCCCCTTGAGGAGATGGTGGAGAAGGGAAGAAGGATGCAGATTCACGGAAAGTGACATTCATACTAGCATACACAACGCACAATCTTAAAGTTTCCCACGAGTACGAAGTTGCAAATGAACAAAATAGACACACCCAAACACCCGAGGAGGAGGAGGAAGAGAAAGAGGTGGGATATGTTACAGGAAACAGTTGAAGAGGAATTTGGAATTAGAGGACACTGCAAGGCATACGGTTGATAAGGTAAGCAACAGGAAGAACAACATCACCCCAAAAAGACTTAGGGACATTTAGCAACTTCAAGAAGATGGCCATTCTTGCGTTCAGCAACTCCATTCTGCTGAGGAGTACTAACATAACTAGTTTGATAAAGAATGCCATGCTCCTCTAGGTACGCTCAAAAAACTCCATCAACATACTCAGTCCCATTATCACTTTGAAGAATTTTGATTTGAACATTAAAAAGATTGGTCACCATTTTGTGAAAAATTTGGAAAAAAAAAAAACTTCACTCTTAGTTTGAAGCAAGTAAATCCAAGTCACACGGGAATAACAATCAATAAATGCAACAAACCATCAATACGCAGAAACAGAAACCACAAGGGAAGGGCCCCACACATCGGTATGAATAAACATAAAAGGAAAAGTACTTTTTTTATTAATTGAATGATAACAAGTACGTTTATGCTTTGCGAGTTCACAAGCATCACAACCAAAACTACTCCTAGGACAATCATGAACTAAAGAAGGAAATTTTTTCTCTAGAACACTAAAGAAAGGATGACCCAAACGACGATGCCATTGATGAAGGAGATGAAGAGGAGAGCTAGTAGTGCACTTGAGAGCTTGAGATGGGACATCAGAAGGAACGACATCAATAAAGTACAGTTCACCTTGTGCTCTACCACTGCCAATCATTTTTTCCGTAGCTAGTTCCTAAAAGACACAATGAGTAGGAAAAAAGGTCACCGAGCAATTTAAAGTAGTAAGACTACTAATAGAAAGTAGGTTAGTGGAAAAATTAGGAACATGAAACACAGATGAAAGACAAAGTAAAGATGAATAATGAATCGAACCCTTGCCAGAGACAGAGGATAAAGTGTCATTAGCCACTCTAACCTTGTGTTGGCTAGAACAAGGAGAATAAGAACAGAAAAGGCTAGAGGCACCTGTCATGTAGTTGGTGGCACCAGAATCAATAATCCAAGAAAGCGACGAGGATGTATTAAGAGCACTAGCAGGAATACTTGTGTGGACAAAATTGGAAGAAGCTGGAGTGGAAGAAGTTGTGGAAGATGGAGAATCAAGTCGAGCCATCAAACACCCGAGAGTGTGTAACTCATCCTGAGAAAAAGTGCTAGGTTCAGAAGAAGTACTAGCAGCAATCTCAGACACGTGCACTTGAGGATGAGCTGTACTACCACGGCCCTGACCACGAATAGGGTGACCATTCAGTTTCCAACAATGCTCTCGATCATGTCTTTCTTTCCTACAATAATCGCACTTCAATCGATCTCGATCAACCAATGTACCTTGAATACCAGACTGAACTGAACTAGGCCAAGGAGCTCGAGTAGGAGGAGCAACAACCAAAGCAGAACGATCCTGAATAAAGGAATGAACCATAGCGTTACGTTGACTCTCCTCTTGCTGGACAAGAGCACAAGCCTCGCGTAGGGTGGGAAAAAGGGAATGACCCAATATCTGGATGCAAATCTAATCATACTCCAAATTCAAGCCAGTAGGAAGGTCATCCCTAGAACAAATAGCTTGGAAGGTCTGGTAAATAGTCTAGTTCCTGTCACAAACTATTCAACTCAGTATAGTATATTGCGAGTGATCTATCCTTTTGATCTAAGCCCCAAAGCTTCTTTCTCAACTCATACGCTTGTGCATCATTACCCTGTTGGGAGTATATCTAGGCTATAACGGTCCAAATCTTATGAGCAGTGTGCAATAAGAGGAAACTCCGACTAATGGTGGGCTACATAGAGTTGATGAGCCAAGTCATAACAAGAGCATTTTCAAAAATCCATTGAGTACGTATTGAGTCATCACCATCCGGTAAGGGAAGAGAACCAGTAATGTAGCCAGTCAAATGGCAAGTAGCAATAGCAAGATTACAGGAGCGTGACCAAATCAAATAGTTGGAACCATCCAGTTTAACGGAACTAATTTGAAGAGAGGGATTGTCGTTAAGAGTAATAACTCGACGCATCCCACCTTCATCACTAATTGTATCCTTAGTCTCACCCTCAGCCATTGAAAATTATATCCCCAGAATATGAAAAACAAATACCAGCTCAAAAACCAGCAAAAAACAAACAGAGGCAAATCCACAAACTCAACTTAGGGACAAAAGTTACCTCTAGAGACAAAAATAGAGCCGAAACATGGGCTAGAGAGGCCAAAACAGTCAGAAACTGAGAGAAACTATGCTGAGGAAAATCGACAAAAACAAAGTGGAACCTTGCCAAATCATCAAAACCAGGTCTCCTAACCCTATTGTAGTACCAGTTGGCTTCCAAGGTAGAGGGAGGAAGGAAAAAGTTAGCAGAAAAATAGCCTCATCAACGATTGTCGAAAAATCAATCAGTTTTTCTAAAAAATCAACAAAAATTGGAAAAACACTCAAACACTCAAACACTCACCAAAAAATTAAAATAAAAATCTAGGGTGAAAACCCATCAAATTTCGACCATGAAGGATTTTTTTATATTATTATTTTATTTTATATTTTATTTTTTTGGCTGTGTGCAGGAAAAAACGAATGAAACAAGGAACAAGGAACAAGGAGAAGAATTTTGAAGGAGGAAGATGAAGCTTTGATACCATGTTAGATTTGCATGAGAGAAAGAAAAGAATGAGGAGAAGAAGAGAGAGAGAGAGAGAGAGAGAGAATGACTGTGTTTATTAACATACTCGAATCATATTAGGGTTCTCCCTTACACATATTTATAATAAAAGACTAAAGGAACAAAGGATATAACTACCTTTAGACACTAATACTTAGCCATGAGTTATGCCCTCGGCACCTTTTGCTGGTTGACTCTTTATGTTTCTATCCATTCATTCTGTAGACTTTGGATCTCATTATGTATGATTTTTTGCAATTGCAAAGGAAACTTTGTGTATGCTTATCCATGAAGTACTTCATATGAGATATTGTGGTAGTTTGGTTTCATTTTTGACTCCTTCGGTTAGAATCCTCTTCTTTTGGCCACCAAACCAATGCACACTTGCACAAAGAACTCAATTTCCTTCTCAGTTGCTTGTGGAGTTTTTTTAGTCTCTAGTCACTATTAGGTTTTATTCCAGGTAACCGTATTGTTATATTTCGGTTTATGCAAGTCCAATGCTATTGGAATTTGAGCAAATTATGCATGTAATATGCCTTACATGGGCAATGATATTATATAATCATTTCCAGGGAGGAAGAACTTGTGGATCGTGCCAAAGCACTTAAAGTAAATGTGGGAACAGAACCTGGTGCAGACCTTGGACCAGTTATTACTAAAGAGGTGCTAGTATACCTTGGAAACTCTTGACATGCATTATTGGAAAATGACATTTGTAGTTAATTGTTATGCTTTAACTTTTTCTTGTTAAATGGAAAAGTTTTATTTGCTTAGTATGATAGAATTATAAAGCACCTGCAGTCTATGGGTGTTTGACGAGCTGGAGTCTGATTGCTTAACATACTGCATGTGTTGTGTGTTCATTTTATTTGCGTTGTTATTTGGTCTTTGACTTGCTTTCTGAATTCACAGGCAAAGGATCAAATATGCAGATTAGTTGAGAGTGGAGTCAAAAGTGGTGCTAGACTAATTCTTGATGGAAGAGACATTGTGGTATGCATGTGTTTCCTGAATCTTTTAATGTATGCATTTATTGATGATACCAAACTCTGCTTGACTTGATCTCTCTAAGGTTAGGTAATAGGAGATTGCTAAATCCATTGCATTAATGCTGTATCCACAGACTGCTCTCTCACATAAGCAGGCCCCATGTTTTGAGAGAGGGGTTGTTGTGTATACCCCTATAGGGATTTAGCAATCTCCTATTGAACATTCACTAACAAAACCAACTTTTTGTGTTAGTACTGCTCTTTGCATTAATGTCAGTATGTTGTCAAAACTAGCTGTGATGGATTTGTTTGTGGTTAGGATCAGAATGGATTTAAGAGTACAAGGTGTTCCTGTGTCCTTGGAATATTGGACAGTTTGATTCAAATGTAGGCTGGAATCGGAAGTAATATGTGTCACATGGTGACTCATTATCTTAATCTAGACACTGGGAAAAAAATTGATGGATTCATTCTGTGCATACAAACTGTTTCATGATGCAATCAGCCTCTTATGGTTCATGTATGCAAGAGTAAATTTGTTAATTTTAAAGCTTACACTTGACTATGTGATGTGTTGTCTGTTTTGAGTGCATCATCTTTTACGCCCTCTTTTATTGGGACATTATAAAGATTTTCTGAAGGACTGTTGAGGAAGAGGTGGAATATCTGTTTGTAAAAGGATTATCATGGATGACCTTATTCTACATTGATGTTTGTTATGACTTTCCAAAAGTTTATGGAGGTGTTTAACTTCACATGGAAGGCCATGTGCTTGTCTTTTGTGATGCTCGAATACCCTATTTCATCCTTGAAGTTGATTCAATGTATAATCATAATGGGGTCACTTAAAAGTATAAAACCATACTTAAAGTTGATCCAATAATTCAACTTTACCAGTAAAATTTTTCTCCAGCCCTGGGACTGGTCAAGTTTAAAAGAACTATTTTGAATATGTACTGCTGCTTGTATCAAATATACCCAGTTCAGATGTTATGGGCATCATAGTGTCCTTATACCTCCCTGTTTGAGCATTGTTCATTATTTGACTATATGTTTGCAATTACTATTTTGGTGCAAATCTATTTATCATTGTATGCTTAGGAATTATATTTCTAATTTTCTGATATATGAGGATACATGAACAAACAATTGGACGCATAATTTTGTTAGAACAAAACTTAAATGACTAATGGTTGGGTTGGTTCCATAATCATTGATGTCATGAATTTAGGGATAACTGAGGGAAGGGGTGGCACGGGACAGTTTTCTGCAAACTGGAGTGGATCAGTTGAACTGGTTTTTTGCCATTTTAACGAAGTGTACAATTTAGAGCTTCTGAAAACTTGAACCTAAATATTTTCTTTGGTAGTCTTGTACCTAAATTAATATTTATTTATGCTTATCTTTATACAAGAATAATTACATAACAGAACTTATAAATAACTTGAAGGTCATAATCAAACGGTTCAACTGATTAACAGTTAATCAGTTGAACCTCTCATCCAGTGAACTGCTTCCCTCGCTGGGTTGATGTAAAGGTGTGATTCTAATAACATGAGCCTCATCTTGTCCCTTGCACACCTTCTCTGAATCAGAACTTTCTGTGTAGGTTCCGCAGTATGAGCATGGAAACTTTGTGGGTCCGACCATCCTATGTGATGTTACAACCAGCATGGAGTGCTACAAGGTATCTCCTTATGTTTCCAATACTTCTGTTAATGTGTTTAGGGATTGTTTGATTAGGTGGACTATAGCATAGGATGATTGAGATTATTAATTCATGGGACTCACATTCCATTGTTTGGTTGTAAATTTTATTATTCGGATTAGATTGCAATGGTCATTTTATCCAACAAAATTGATAAATTTTTTAATCTTACAACTAATAATGCAAAACATATGTGTAATTAAGATTATATATTTTTATATTTGTTACAAAACAAGTGTGGACAAGAGGAAATTATGTATCTCACTAATCCAGTTAGATAACAAATCCTATGCTAATCTCATGGATTATTAATTCCCTCACTATTGATTCCGTTGATCAAACATACCAAAAAGACAAAATTATCCTTGGTTTTTTTAGAAATGGTTTTGGTAAAAACATATTTCCCTCCTAACTTTGGACTATATTTGAGGTGGGACCCATGCGCTGAATTTGGTAAGTCCATGTGGCAATGCGTTTTTCACCGCATTGCGATTCACGTCGTATATTTAATTGTTCAAAATCATTATAGGGTGAATAGAAAATCGATACCAAAGTGTGCTCCATGAAAATGGAGACTTGGTGGGTTTCCCATAA